AATTAGTGACAACAATCTCAGCGTCTGTGTAAATGTGTTGTATAAATAACAGTGACTTGACAAAGAGTGGCTCAGTTTTACCTGGGATCCTACAGCCCAATAACTGGCTGTAACATAGCATAATAGCATAATAGCATGTTGCTGTCAATATTCTGTTGTCACCAGTCACAATTTTTAAAAGTATATCATTGTGGTTGAATAATTAAACTTGATCCTTCATACAAATGATCAAGAGAAAAATAGAAAAAAAGAAAAGTAACCAAACTGGTACCTCTAACAGCTAATGAGCTAAAAGTAATTAGCCTAGCTTAGCAGGGTAGCCTCTGATTGTAGGGGACCTATAGGTTGTTATTTGGTTAAGCTGCCATTAAATCACAAATTTCCATGTATTTAATTCATTGCTAAATATGCAAATAGTATATAAATCATCAAGAGAGCTAAATAAAAGACAAGTAACTTCTACGAGCTCACTAGCTGAAAGCGAACTAACCATTTAACTAGTCTATGACTCGTGTTTCATGTGGTTACCCTTGCTTTAAATATTTTATGGTATTTTATTCATGTTTGTGTTTTTTGTAAGTATTTTCATGATACTAATGGTCAAAAGAGCTGAAAAAGAGAAAAGTTAAACAAAGCTTGGCCTCCTCAAAAACAACAAGTAGTCTAGCTTAGCAACATAGCTTCTGACACCAGGGGATTTAAAACAAACCAAAAAAAAGCTAGATTTTGATGTGATTTCATTCATGGTTAAATTATTAAACATGGTACAAACGACAGGTGGGTAAAGTTAGTGAAAATCAGCTCCACCTCAACCAACTACAACAATCATTACTTTAAAAATGTAGAATTATCTGACATTTTGATTACATGTGGTAACAGCAGCCAATTTGGCAGAATTGTGGACACCTCACTTTTAAACTTGGAATTAATTTAATTTCACTTACTTTTACAATCATTTCTATCGAAGTGCAGTTTAAATGCACCTCTAATTACCTATTCTAACATATCTGTATTGCTGCTTTCGAAGTAGGGGGTAACGCATTCATGTAATCCCGTTACATTAGTTCCTATAAATCCTGTAATCGTATTACAGTCAGTTACAGTAACTACTTTGATTTTGAGGAAGTGTAGCTTATTGCCAGTGCCGTCGCGATTCTCACATGCAATTGAACGTAAAACAAAAATGTGGTGTATGTGTGGGCATGTGTAAGATTAAAAGATACATTGTGAAATGGTTATCACGTGACAATTCATCTCAGGCAATGTTGCAAAGTAACATAAATGTAGTGTAATGTTGTGTAAAAATGACTTTCTACAAGGAGTAAACAAAATGCTGATGGCATCTCCACTCATGTGGTATGCATCAGACCACTAAAGTAAACCACTAAAATCTACCATCAAGACAAGAAGACACTTGCACAGCTACAGGGTTCACCAACACACAAATGCCTGGTAATGCTGAGAGGCCTGCAGGAAACAATACCAGCGTGTATAATTGTGGAGCAAAGTGCTTTAATGAGTGACCGACCTGTACAACAGTGAAGGGAAGATTAAAGTGTTGACCAAATAAGGAGCAGCCTGACTGAAGGCAAACCTCCTCCACCTCGTCTGTCAAATCAAGTGCAGGTGGTGTTTTGTCTCTGACGTGTATGACTGCCAGCAGGAAGACTTCACTGCTGACGCCAGCAGCCGGATGAAAACATGTCGTCTGACTATATCGAGCCAGTGCGTTTAACTGGATATGATTAGGAAGTGAACACGTTTGTATACAAATGCGACAGAACACAAATGAGACTCCGCTGATGTCTGCTGCCACACGTTTGAGATCCGAATCCTGCCATGAAAATATTACACCTCAGAAATAACGCAGATTTTAGAGGGGAAAAAAAATCTGGAAAAACTAGAAAGCAGAGATAAAATCTAAGTGACTGCACTCCCTGGTTGTGTCCAGACGCTTCCAGAACGTGTCTTTGGGTTTTCTTTTTTATTATTTTCGCTTGTGCAACACCAGTTTTGTAATGCTTTTTGTCACATCATCTTGTTGTTGCACGCCTTGCAGAACTGTCACTTTCCACGACATTTCCTGTATTGTAGCATGTGACAAATACGAATCTTGAATCTTGAGAACTTTCTGTTGTTCAATGGAATTCAAAAGTCGTTTATGAGGCTGCGATATCTGAATAACTGAGTATATACGATGCATGTGTATACATATATATGAATGAATGAATGAATGAATGAATGAATGAATGTGTGTAATTCATGGTTGATTTATGAACTGTAGCATAAACGGTAAAGAGAGCGACAAAAGAGCGACAAAACTAATGAGACAAAAAGTTCTCCCTCTAAAATCTAGCTCAGTCTAGCGAGGTAATAGCTAACTAGCCTAGCTTAGCCGAAAAGCTCCTAACGAGTGTATTTCATGCAATGTAGTGTGGTTAATCTGCCTTTAAATGACATATTTTATGTACTGCATTCATGATTAATAGAGAGGTCCACAGATAGAAAGGTGAGTTAGAGAAAAGTAAAGCTAGTTTCCTAAAGTTAGCTCACAGGCTTAACAAAGTAGCATCTGGCTCTAGTGGATTTAATTTGCTTTATGTGGGTAAATTGCCTTTCAATTACAAATCATAATGCATTTCACTCATTGTTGATTTATTAAACATGGTATAAAACATTGTTCATGATTTCATGAAGTTCTTCTTCTAAAAACTAAATAGTTATAAATAATTTTATGTGGTTAAATCTACCTTTGAATAAAATATTTTAATTAACTCATGATTGATTTATTAAACTAGCAACTTACAAGTGATTAAGACAAGCGAATAAGAGAACGGTGGAGCTAGTACTTTTTAAAGTTAACTAGCCTAGCTTAACAGAGTAGTTCCTGACTTTAGTGGATTTAATGTAGTTGGTGTGTTTAAGCTGCCTTAAAATTACAATGCGTGTCATTCATTGTTAATTTATTAAACTTGGCTCAAATGTTTAAAAGAGGTGCTTAAAAAAAAGTGAACTAAACCAGACCTTCTAAAACATAAGCCCAAATGATAACTATCCTTCCTTATCAGGGTGTAATATCTGTTTTAATGTGATTGCATTTAAATGTATTTAACTCGTGAATAATTCATTAAAGTCACTCCTTGGTATGAATGTTGTAGAGAGCAGATGAGAGCAAAGTAGTGAAACTAGTCTTTCTACAAGTTCCTTCAAAACATTTAATGTATTTGATTCATGTATAATTGATTAAAGTAGTTCTTTGCTACAAGGAACAACAAGGAAAGAGACAGAAGACTTTTTTTATTTTTTTTTTAATGAACATTTTGGCTTGAGCTTTCCTTGTTTGTTGAAAAATCTGTGTATTGAATAATGTAGACGTACCACCACATACATTTAAAATATGCTGAATAATGTAATCAGGGCAGTTGTGCTGTTTTCCTCATACAGTACATGATGAGGGCCACACACACATGCAGACTGACATCTAGACATACTGTAGTGATGCTTCTAAACACATGATGCAACATGTTGATACAGAATTCAGCCACTGATTTATGTCATTATCTTGTTGTCGCACCAATTTTTGTATCAGCCTTTAATTTTTTTTACACACGATAACACTAAAATCCTTCCAAGAGGTGTATTTTCTCTTACGATAAATCCGTCTTTTCTTACCATTTCTTACCATTCAGTGTCACAACTCCATTATGTTTGATAAACCGGGCTTCTATAGGCCTCACACAAACACACATTACATGACTGCTGCTATTTTGCATACATACAAGATGATTTCTGTCCTTTACAGATGTAAATCCCTGCAGTGTTTCGGTTTCGGTGACTCATACGGGAAAATGTTATGTTACTGTCTGAGACGCTGCCACCTTATCTGGCCTAATAGAGAGAAGCAAGGACAAACAGCACAAAGGCTGATAGAAAGTGGCTGCCTCTGCTGGTGCTGCAGAAAAGGAACAGCTGAATGGATTCTGTCTGCAGAAATAAAGACAAGAATCTCCCATGTTTTGCTTTTCCATATTGTACATGTTGGCAAAGTAAATGAAAGATATTTAATCAGTTTGCAACTAGCACTTGAATCAAACATGTTTTTTTCATCCACCTAACAAGCCTCCACAGCTACCTATGAGGCACTAAGCGTACATTTCTGTATACATTATACGTCTACATGTTTCTTCACAGCCTCATTTAATTAACCATTTAATGATCTCCCCACTTCACTTGCTATTTGGCCTGATTTTAGCATACACTGTAAAAAAAAAATGTAAAAAATAAAAATTAAGAAAAACTGTGAAGATCTGGCAGCAAGAGTTTCAGAAACAATACTTTTTTTTTTTTTTTAATGGAGGAATAATTAAACATTTAAAAACTGTGAAAACGGGAGGAGGGAACATCAATTTTCTGTAAAATATGATATTTTAGCTGATTTGAATACAGTGAATGTGTGTAATTTTATGATCACGTTCCCCGGTTAAGTTCCCCGGTTCACGTGTGAGAACACCTGGGATCATTGCATGTTCTCCCTGTGCAGTTTGGGTTCTCTCCGGGTTCTCCAGCTTCCTCCCACAGTCCAAAAACATGTTGAGGTTAATTGGTGATTCTAAATTGTCTGTTGGTGTGAATGTGAGTGTGCTTGGTTGTCTGTCTCTAAGTGTAGCCCTGTGATAGACTGCTGACCTGTCCAGGGTGTCCCCTGCCTTCGCCCTAAGTCAGCTGGGATAGACTCCAGCCTCCCGCGACCCTAGTGAGGATTAAGCGGTGTATAGATGATGGATGGATGGACATGTATGCTATAAATTAAAGGGAAGATATCCAGCGTGTCTGAACCAAGAGTGTCTGTGTGCCTGTTGCACATGTACAGCTGGTTTTGTGTATGAAAATCCTTTTTGTGCAGCTGCTGTACTTTCAATCATTGTTTAAAAGTGTTCTGTTATTACCCACAGAAATCTGTCTGACTACATCTGCAAAACCACCAGTTGGGACCAACAGGGATGGAGGGAGAAGGCTGTAATCCCGGTGTAGCTATAGATTCAGGTAATCCACTGCTGAGAGCAGTGTTCCTCCGTCGTCTGAGGCTCACCCGACTGCTCCTGGAGGGCGGCGCTTACATCAACGAGAGCGACAGCCAAGGGCAGACGCCCCTCATGGTGGCCTGCAGGACCCAGCACATCGATGCCCAGAGCGCCAGCCGGGTCAAGCTCATTCAGTTTCTTCTGGAGAAAGGAGCAGACCCCAACATCCAGGACAAAGAGGGTCGCTCTGCTCTGATACATGCCTGCCGGGAGCAGACCGATCCAGAAGTGGTGTCTCTGCTCCTGGCCAACGGGGCGGACATTAGCCTGGAGGACCAGACTGGGACATCAGCGCTGGTCTATGCAGTCATGGCTGGAGACTGGAAAGTGCTGAAGCTGTTGCTCGACACATGTAAGGCAAAGGGGAAAGAGGTGATTATCATAACGACAGACAAATTCCCTTGTGGGAAACTACAAGCCAAGCAGTATCTCAGCATGGGACCCCTCGGTTCTCTTGATCAGATGACAACCACTGCTCCTGCCTCCCCATCTGAAATCCAGCTCATCACCTCCCCCCAGTGCACCTCCTCTTCCTTATGCCCCCCAAAACCTGTCTTTTCCTTTAAAGATGCACAGATCTGCGGTGTAAGCTCCCATCCATGTTCCCCGTCCCGGCTTCGGGGGCTTGGCCAAGCAGCACTAAATGGACTGCAGCAGCCTCTACTAAGGCTGAACTCTGAGCCCTGGTTAAAGATCCCAGCATCTCTGCTCACCCACCAAACTCATGCAGCTCTGTCCTCAGAGATGGGCCAAGACTTTACCCTGGCTGATGAACACTCTTTTAGAGTTTGCAAACTAGATGGAGACAACAGTACACACAGCTTCAACTGGTGTGAAGGAAAATTTGCAAGAGATAAAGGAGACGGAAAGATTGATTGTGCCAAACATGTAGGGCAAAAGATATCCTTACCAGGTCTTCTATCATCCCACTCTGCCTCCCATCCCAATCTGCATTCTGGAAACCTTAGTACAGATTCATCCACCTCCTCTTCCTCCCTTTCCGGTGGCAAAAACCTCAGCACACCCCTTCACAGCATGGCCTCATCCAGCCTTCATAGCGTCATCCAGAGACGCAAGTTAGGGACAGACATCTACAGCTCTGACCCTCAGCTAGCTGTAGACATTCAAACTCTCCCTGAAGAGCAAAGAGCCAGAGATCCAACGGACGGCAAAAGGCTGGTGCCAATACGCTGCTCCAGCATGCTGGGCTCCAGGGAGTCACTGTCGGGCCCCAGCAAGAGACTCCTATCTGGGTATGAGCGCAGAGGGTCCGGTGCCTTTTTGTTGGACCACAACTCTCAGGCCAGGCCTCGATCTTTGCCACCTCTAATCAACACCCCCATCCTTAACGGTTTTAACCTCAGCTCCGGCAGTGGAGGTAGTTTCTCTGAGAAACATTTCATGCCCTCTGCTCCTCCTGGGCAGCCCAAAGAGCTGACCAGAAGGATGTTGCTGAGGAGACACTCGATGCAAACCGAACAGTTCAAAAGCACAGCTTGAAATTCAGAAGAAAAGTTCATCAGTGTGTTTCAGTGTTTAAGACTCTGTTGTCATGTGATGTAGTGTCTGTGTAGTGAAACTCATTGAGAGAAACCGAAGAGGATAAACACAATTTCTAATGGGTATAACAACATACAAATTATATTCCTCTGCTTCAGCGTGCTCTGTTGTCTCGTAGCTTTAGTGTGCAGTTTAGATCTTTTGGGACAGTTGGGGGCAGCGAACCAAGCTGAAACCACCACATCTGACATAGTTTCACTTTATAAAATTATTCTGGTGAAGGTGTTAGCAATCCACATCCAGAAAACTTGACGAGTGTACTATGAAGCAAGATTAATCAGTTCCAAGGCATGTTAAAACTAAAGTCAGAGTTTTTTGGTGTCAGCAAAGCTGTTCTCTTTTAACCTGATCCAGAGGAGGTTCTTCTTCTTCTGTTCAGAGTTTAGGATTTAAATCGGCTTTAAGAAGTGTCTCCCCATTAAAAGTTATTTTCCTGACAATTCTTTATGTGTTACAGAGTCTCAGCTGAGGGATATGTTATATCTGCAAATTTGTTTAGATGCAAATTAGTAATCCCACTGAAGGAAGCCTGAAGTTGCAATAGTGCAGATTGTATGCTTTGCCATTTAGTTGGTGATGTAGAGAACGCCAAAAAAATCTTTTTATGTTTGGTCCTGATTTGCTGCCAAGAGTGTTTCACATTTGCTGGAAGAGGCTTTGTTCAGAGTTTCACATTTAAATCAGCTGTAAGACGCATCTGATAATTCCCTCTGACTGATACAGAATCTCATTGGGGTAATATGTTACATCTGCAAACCTACTGAGCTGGATGCTAGGAATCCCACTGAACAAAGCCAAACTCTATGTGTTGCATTATCATGGAAACCTATATGCGTTCAGTTGGTAATGTAGGAAATGCACAAATATGTTTTTGTTCTTGGTCCCATTTTACACTTCTGGTTCTGCAGCTAATAGAACATAGACTAGATGATTCAGCGTTGTATTGGTATTTATAACAGAGAATATTCCATCAAAAACTAAAATCTCATTTTGATTTGGTCAAAAAGGATGATTTCCTCGTGTCCTTCATTATGGGTCAGCATCAGAGATTCTTCAATATCATGTTTAAATGAATGAAGTGTCAGAGCTCTGATGTGCAGCTGTCATGTTAGAAGTTAGCAGCTGTAATGAGATTCACTAAGTAGGAGATAAATATATTAACTTACAGCATGAACAGCTGCAGCAACAGCACTTTGTTGGGTTTTAGGTTTTGTTGAGTTGGCTAATACAAAGAAAGCCTGCCTATGTTGACCTTGCTTCATAGTGCACCTCAGTGGAGCGACGTTGGCTTTAAATTCATGTTTTTAGGTTCCTTTACCAACGGTTTCACTTTTCTTTTAGCTCAGTTTTCATCTCAACCAATGCCTGAGAAATATACTTACATCTTCAGCTGCTAAGAAGTTCCACTTTCTTTACCAGTTAGTCTTTAACTTTGTCTGTCTGCTGTTTATGGCTACATGTGATTGTGTTTGTCAGAAATTCTTTCTGGAAAATCAGGTTGAGGAGACTGGAATTATGAAAAGAATGAGCTCAAAAAGTCACTCAGAGCTCTTAGATTTATCACAATGAGCCAAATTTTTTAGATTATCTGTGGTCATTTCATTCCTTAACATAAATAAATCTCAGTTAGAGCAGCTTTGACTCCAAAGCTCCATTTTGATCTCCATCAATGGCTAAAATCTTCAGGCTCTTATAAAACATCTGGCTGCCAGTACTTTCATTTTCTTTCCTAGCTAGTTGTAAACTTGTTCTGCTGTTTATTGCTACCATTAGTTTATCAAAGCTTCTTTCTGGAAAGCAGAGTAGATAGGATTTAAAGGTTCAGAATCAAAACAATGAGCTTAAAGATGCTTAAAAGCCATGTCGAGCTCCATGAATCTGTTACTTTAGGCAAGATGTTTTAAATTATGTGTAGTTATATGATTCTTTAATATAAAAAGCTAAATCAGTGCAGCTTTAAAGTCATTATATTCAGAACTAGGAAATTCATGAAGGTGGTGCATCCCAGTGGCCAATGAAAGTCACTGTGGAAGGCAGTAACACACACCATTTTTCAACAAATATACCATCAGAATGATTTCACAGACACTATAATCACTTTAAAATTCCTCACATAGTGGCTTTGAATCGGCAGTAGCTGAGCGCAAGACTTGTTTTGCTAAAAGCTGCTGTCAGTTGCCATTCTTTAAGAAACGTCTCTCACTCAAGCTGTAAAGTGTGTCATCAATGATTTTATTAAAATAAAAATGCATTACAAATCATTGTCAAAGTACATTACGTATGCATAATCATCTCAAAGTGTCTGTCGGTTTAACCCTCCATGAAGAAAAACACCTAAATACACACACGTGAACTTACTTCCATAAACTCCTAAAAACATCCCACATATTTACAAGTTTGTAAAAAATAAAATAAAATGGATTAAAAAATGACAATTAAAAGACAGTACAAAGGGAGCAACACCTATAAAAACTGGGATTATGTATGAATTTGTATTCACTCCACAGTCTAGTAGCAGAACGCTGCTACTCGACTTATATTCAGATACAATCAAGCAAAATAAATAAATACAACAATACCTATAGCAGGTGGTAATCATAATACAAACAGTGGCATAATACAAGCCAGGATACGTGTTTTCTGTGCTGCTAAGGTACCAACAACCAGACTGTCATGGCTTCAATGCCATCATTGTGGCTCCGTCCTCTACAGTTATGCCGTGAGTGCCAAACCTGACCGATTCTCTTCTGTCCCGTCTTGGACAGGCATCGAAATCTTCTTTTTTTTGTTCAAGCTCTGCGGTCGTAATCCGCCACCATCTTCTTGATATGGTTCAGTTTGGACTTCAGATATTTACTCCTGCGCTTCTTCACCTGATAATCGGAGGACTGTGGGGACAAATAAAAAACAGATGTATGAGTTGACTGGGTCCTGTGATGAAGAATAAACATGTATACCCACATTGGGGGTAGTTTTACCTCATTAAAGGGAATTTTATGCAGCAAGACACACCAAAATTGAATCAGATCAACTTATTTCTGTTATGTAGCATTAGGGTTGTTTTTCAGCTGCAGGAGTTTGTGGGTTGTTTTAAGGTGGCCTGAACTTCTGTGCATGTTCAGACTATAAGAACTGGCCCTTTAGAACCTCCTGCAATGTTTTTGTTTTTGTGGGAATAAAACATATCTACTAAAGGGTAAGTATTTCTGATAACTGTCCTGCATATCTCGGTGACGTCTCAGTGTTCTTATCAACTAGTAGTTTAGTCCTTAGAAAACATAAAATAACCACATATGCTTGCATAACAAACCTCTGCTGTTCTGTTTAATACATGCTTATAGAACAAGACTTACAACCTGAAACTACTATTTGTCATTGTTTTGGCAAACTTGGAGGTAATGCTGTAGTTGAAACGGTTAAATTCTACAACACAGAAGAGGGCCGGTTATTTCTGCTGCACAGAAGGACCACATGGCCCCCTAATCAAGCCTTTCAGCTTCCATCACTGTGTACATCAGGGGTGTCGAATCCTGGTCCTCGAGAGCCCCTATCCAGCATGTTTTAGATGTTTCCCTCTTCCAACACACCTGATTCAAATGATCAGCTCATCATCAAGCTCTGCAGAAGCCTGATAATGATCCTGATCATGTGAATCAGGTGTGTTGGAAGAGGGAAACATCTAAAACATGCAGGATTGTGGCCCTCAAGGACCAGGAATCGACACCCCTGCTGTACAGCTTAAACTACAACGTCAACAACAAGTACACCAAAACAGCAACAACTAGTAGGACGTAACTCCAGTTCTAAGAGCACATAGGCTCCTATTTAGTGAATTTTACATTGTATATAGGAAGGTTAGAAAAAGGAGAGGTCTCCTGCTGGAGAACATTGAGAGACGGCCTCTCTGAGTTTAACCAATATGTGGTAAGATCCCTCAGAAACACCAACCCAGAAAAGGTACTTTTTCAACAAGATTCTTGTGGTCGGAGCATATAAAGATTTGAGCTGACCTGAAACGGCCTGCAAGTCCCTGCAGTAGAAAATGGCTTCATTTTTTCAAAGTTAAGCTAAGTAGCACTTTAACAAGCAAAGACTTTTCATCCAATAAAGGCTACATACCAAGCACCAACTTCAATGTGTTAACTCAAAGAGTTTCTGGGACACTTACTTTGCCTCATCAACGTGTAAATTTATGCAGAAAGGTGACTAAAATCTGGTCTATCAACTCCTCCATATGGTGTTGGTACAAGCATTAAGTTTGGACTTCGTATCAATCTTCAGTTATTGTGTTCATAAGAATGTGTCTAAGTGGAAGGCCATGCATGAATGCTGAATGTAGATGGTAACGTTTTCAAAATGACTGTAGATCCATTAAATAATCCCACATACCTTTTTAATGGCCTTTATCCTGCTGTACTCATCCATAGCATCCTGTCAAAGAAGAAATAACTGTTCAGACACACATTTCAAACTGAATTTGGCTTAGAAAATTTCACATTACATCAATATTTTGACAGATGTACAGGCTTTCTTTTGTTGCTTCTGCCAAGTCATTTTTTTTAAAACCTGCATGAAAAGACTTTTTTTTTTTGTCCAACAGTTCTTGAGGGAACTATCTGTATCAAACAGCGTTTCAGGCTCTCACCAGGTACTGTGGGCTTCCCTCCTCCAGCTGATCCAGCTCCCTGTCGACATCCGACAGGTCCTTGTTGATGGCGTCCAGCTCTGCCTGCAGGTCCTTGTACTCCAGGTGGTCACGGTCGAACACCTGCTTGTAGTCGTTGCGTTCCTGCTCATTAGCTATTGGAGGGAATTCACTGAAATGAAAAACAGGAGGGAAAGAGGGAGAGATTCAAATTACAGTTAAAACAAAACAAAACAACAACAACATGTTAAACGTAGTCTTAGAAGAAGAAATGCTGAGGTGGTTAATATGTAAAAGTAGCACAGTTTTGTTGGACATATGGTGCCAAGATGACACTTCCAGGTAATTACAAAACAACAGCAGCACCTAAAACTTCTAATTTCATGTATAAGTTGCTACTAATTTCAAGACTTGCACATTTGTGTGATGCAGACTTCAGTTGTGGTTAATGTGCAACTTGTTTCACAAGTAAAGAAATAATTTATACTTGCCTCCACAACACAGGGGGTCCTGCACAATCAGGTTAAAGAATTATTTTGTTCTCTAGACCATCAAACTGATAAGGGAATAAAGGCAACATCCATACTACTACATTTTAAAACTCAGAAATTCTGCTACATTTAATTTAAGCATTCACACTTTTCTGGAGTTTCAGGATACTAAAATAGATAATTCAACATGGATAATGAATTTCAGGTGTTGCTATGGAGCAGTTAAGGAAACCTCTGATCTTACTTTTCACTATTGTTGTTCTTCTGTAGTTATTTTCTACAACTAAGCAAAAACCAGGGATGCAAATCTTAAACGTCAGTGAATACCAATTCATCAGCGACACAAAGAAAGTCCAAATTATTTAAACGAGGTACAAGCTTCCACAGTGAATAACCTGTGAAGTTATTCCACTCTTTACAGCAGTTTGATATGAAAATAATCCTTATACTTGATCTACATAACGGAGTGACGTGTTCACTGTAGTTCATGTCGGTCCAGCTGCTGAAACAGCTGCTCAGCTGTAACAGATGCACATAAATGCAAATGCAGCAACTTGATCAGTCCAGGAAATCTGCCTGTTTTTACTGCCACCTCTAAAATGTATTTATACTCTGAGCATTTTGAGCGTTCATAACATGACTGCAGCCAGATAGCTGGGAGGTGTTTTATGGGTGGTCAGCAAACACACCACTAACGTCATCTTATTTCATAATACGAACCTCCACTTAGTGGCACAACCTGATCTGGTACTACAGCTAGTCTGCAACATATTGTCTCACATGCATTCCCTTGTCTTTCGTCAATCCATTTTTTAAATTATTTATTGAAATTGTCAACTGCAATTAATCAACTCTGATTACCATCCCTCCTTTGTACCTGTCAAAGTCGTTGTCATCCAGCTCGTCTCCAGAGGAGTTATAGTCGGTGTCGTAGTCCTGTCCATCAGCACGGCGTGGCCGACCTGCACGCCTCTTTTTGGGCCGTCCAGCAGAACTTGCTACCTCTGAGTTAGTGCTGTAAGGAATCCCATTCCTCAAAGGCACATCCTCATCTGCAGGCCTGTGTGATGGACAACAATTAACAACAGTTATTTCAAATGCATGATAAAGTTGGTGCATATAGCAAAAATAATACCAATGGAACTAATTCATTATATTCAGCAGGTCCAAACTTCACTAGTCTTTAGTACATTTCATGTGATGGAGGAAGTAAAACACAGCCATCCTGATTTATGATCTTCCACTTCATCGTGTATGAGTAAACAGGTTAACAATAACTTCTTGTTTCTGTCATAGAATGAGCACGTTGTCAGCACAAAAGTATGTCACATAGTTTCAGTGTTGCAATCGCATGTGATGCATGAAACTGCTTTAAAGGTGACGGGAATTTAAACAGCTCTATTGTTTACATTATTTAAATATTAGAATTAGTTACTGAGGATCATTTATTAAGTAGAAATTCACAGTAAATCTGTTTTCAGCTTTGTCAGAGTGAGGATTTGCTTCTTCACTTTGTTTAATGTGATAATAACCATCATGTCCATTTTCCACCGTATTCTGACATTTTATAGACCAATTCATTTATTTTTAGCTAAGATGTACTGAAAGTGGAGTAAAAGCTCATTCTGCTCAGACTCTCGTAGCACTTTTCTATTTTGTTCTCTTAGCAGAGAAAACAGACTGTACGGATGGAAACTTTTCTTATCAGCTGGGTTCTGTTGTCTTCTCATGTTCATGTTGTCTGTAAAAGCACGGTGGTGGCATCATGCCAGGGTGGTTGGAGTGGAAATAGGGAGGTGAGGTACGGTGTAGCAAATAGGTGTAATTATTTAAATTTAGATTTACAACATACGTACAGGGGGTGTAATTTTTACCCAAGTATGAGCACATAAAAATACCAACATCCTCATTCTGACCACACCTGGGGACATTTAACCCATATCACCTTACTTCTCTTTATTGTCTTTACAGCAAACAGTCAAATATAAAGGAAAAAAACTACTCAGTATACTCACGGAGGGGTGTAGTTGTAGGGAGGTTTGTCATAGTTGCTTTCATCATCCAGGTAGCTCCTGGAGCCCCTCAGCTTCTCAGGGTAGTCTGATATCGGAACCTCCTCAGGGGCAGCAGACACATTGTTCACCTGCCGACAGAAAAACACAGGTTAGCAATGTATAAATATACACATATATAACATACAATTAAAAATTGTTTAAAAATGCTAAATATTGTAACGTATATTTTTTTTTACTGTTGGACAGCTGTTTATTTCAGGTTAAAAATTCTAACCATTTACCTGTAATTTTTAGCGCTGTATTTAAACATTTTATCCACAAATTCAACCATTCATTCATTACTTTTAACAATTTCAAACATGTATTTTTTCCACGGTTGTTTTATTTAGATTTTATCCATTTATCATATACTTTTGGTCATGTAGTTCTGGGTAACTGTGATGGGCATTTCTGATCATTTTCTCAGTTTTTATAAACTAAATTATCAATTAGTGGACAAATAATCGAAAGATTAACGCATAATCAAAAAAAATCACTAGCTGCAGCCCCATACAGTTTAAAGGTAGCTCCATCTTGGTCAATTCTACATTCTACATATAAGTGCATCAGTATTGATGATTTGATGTGCAAGTACAAAAGTACATTTACATAATAGTTTTAACATTTTCAGGACTTTTACTCATATCTTGTCATTATTTTTACTCCACTACAATTATTTGATAATTTTGCAATTTAGTTTAATAATACAAAACATGTTTAACAAATGGATGATACAACATTATAGAATATGTCAAAAATTGTATTGATCCTGAGAGCAAATTCACAAGTTATTCAGCTGATATAAAGTAGTTACATCACTTCTACCAGCTGCAACATTAAATGCATTAATAATTATTAACTTTGACTGTTTAGGATGTACAGTCCAAAACTCATAAATACTCAGTTTGCCATCAGTGAAAATATTAAATCATTGCAGATTCATGTTTGAGAGGACACCGTAACAGCATTGTAACTGTTGAAATTAAGCAAAAATCTTAAATTAAAAATAACTAACCATAAAACACCATAAGCTGCAACTGTAAGAATCAGACTGAATGTGGTCATTTACTGTGAAATATTATATTACAGTGAAAAAGTCAAGTTTGCAAATAGTTGTAGTTTTATCAAATAACACTTTAAAATTCAAAGAATTTCAGGTTAAAAGGACATAAAGCAAAAAATCCTCCTGTTGGAGTTGCTAAAGTCTGAAATTGTTCTGCTCTTGTACTTTTGGTACTTTCAGTATGTGTTGAAATGTTTTTTTTTTTTTTTAATCACATTGTAGTTTATGTTTTTTAGTGAGCTATAGTAAAGTTTGTTGACGGGTGTCTCCTTCCAGCAGACACATTGGATCTCTACCAACTCTGGTATGACACACATGAATGAACTTGTCCTGTGAAAGTATGTGTGGTAATTTAGCTACACCCAGCTGAACACAGCAAAACATCAGTCTACATGTGTGCAGTCGCACCATCTCAGCACTTCTAGGCAGGTTCCCACAAGCTGCAGTAAAATAAATGCCTCTGGTTCTCAGTATCAAATTGCTGTTGTGCCGTTTTTTGCTGCTCGCCGGTGGCTTCATGGCTCCGAGTTATAGTCCGACCTGTTCTTCCTGTTCGCTGCACTGAAGGGAACTCTGCTGCAAGGACTGAATGTCATGATGACTTCCAACAAAATGACTCACCTACTCATCGCTACTCTCTTGGTTAGAGAATAGCTTCAGAAAGGATGATTCATCGCCAGATGTAAATACTTATTTTTAAATGCTTGGACGCACTGACAGCAATAAGCCCAAGAATTCCTCTTACTATGCGAGGTAAGACTGAAACTGTCATCCGTGAGCGTGCCACACCTTGAAACCAAGCATGCTGCTATAGATAGGAGCTTATTACTGCTCCCCTCCCCCACTCACAAACAGGTGACTGTCACCAAACTGGTTCCACCGCTTCAGCCGATACACTCGCTTTACTGCACCAGAAAACAAAAGGTGTGTCGCAGACAAGCTGTTAGGATCAGTGTCTTCTGTAGTTGTTATTTACCAAAGATTTTTTGTTTTATGTCATTGTAAAGCAAATATTTTGGGGGCATGAGTTGGTTGGATTTAGGAATTAAGGAATGAATAAAATCATTTAGTTAGAAAATTGAACATTTTTCAGCTGTAGTTTTGTCCAAGCAAAACTCAATGATGTTCAGCTTACAAGGACAGAAAAAAAGCAGAAAATCCTCACTTTGGAACAAATGTAACCAGATAGGTTGGTATTTTTAACTACTTTTACCATAATGTGATCAAAACAAATAGTTTCTATCAATCCATCCACGCCTGGTTCTATCAAGAAAATGTACCCAATCTAAGCTTAAAACTGAAACATTTATACCTAGAAAATGCCTTTATTCTATAGGACTTATTTCTAAATTTGCCAAAAATAAACGGAACCACCCTCCTGGTGAGCTTCAGGCAGTGTTTCCACAGAGCAGAAAGGAGACAACAAGAGAGACTGAGAGGAAAATAAAACATACTGGAAGAATAAAATAAATGCAGCATGCCTCAGAAACATTATAAAGAGGAACAAGTTGTCAACAAGCTCTTGGACAATACATCCAGCTTGGTGAAATATCTTTCTAGCTGATGTGCAGACTAAGTTTTTATAGGTTGTCAAAGTGTAAGTAAATAACTACGGCACAGTGAGCCACTGTTTTATTCCAGTATTAGTGGCCACTTGGAAGAATGTTGGCTATATTAATTCCAATTTCATACATTTTTATAAACCAACAAACCAAAGAAATTCAACTTTTACTTTATGATCTGTTGCATTGTCACCGTGTCAGACTGCACAGAAGATGAGAAAAGATTTTTGAGCTCTCTCTCCTTCTAGTCATGGTTGTATTGTTGTCATAAAGGTGCGGGACTTTACATTACAGTGAAAAAAGAGTGAGAGAAAGTGTCCTTCTTGTGGCTCAGAGGTTTAGTTGTAACAATCAAACGTCACGCTGTCACTCACCCACGCCTCCACGTCCTGAGGTGGCGCCATGTCGTCGATCACCTTCACTTTCTTCCACAAAATGTTGCTCTTGCCGTAGTTTCTGATTTTCTGGCGAGTCTTCAGGGCGAAGACGAGCATGATGAGGAGAGCGGCGGTGACCAAGAAGCCAAACACCACAGCAATGGCCTGAAGAGAGTTAAAACACAGAGTTACCAACACAACCAAGCTTCCAGAGAGAAACCGGTAGAACTACGTAAACTCAAAAAGTGTTCACCTCCTGCGGCTCCACCACACAGTAGTGGTAGAGGTACTGATTGACGAACACTCCTGTTGTCTGCGGTTGTTGGTACTGAGCACACAGACCGGCGATCTGGCTGCCGTAGGCTGACCCAGAGGACTGAGCCATGGGGTTCACTGCCATCAGGTACACTATGGAGGCTATCAGCATGAGCAGCGCCAGGATGGCACAGATGATCACCACAGCCAGGTAGAACCTCCTGCTCTCCGACAGGCTCTGGTGGGACACGATGATGATGAAGACAACCAGGGCGAAGATGAAGACGATGGCGGCCATGGCAATCATGAACCCTTTGCCTGAACGTGGGTCATTGTAGTTCCCTCCGATGCCACCGTAGCCATAGTTGTTTCCAGCTCCGAAGCCGCCACCTCCAAAGCTGCCATATCCACCACCATAGGTTCCACCATAGCTGCCGCCATAGCCGCCACCATAAGCCCCACCATAGCCGCCCCCGATGCCCCCAAAGCCTCCAAGGCCTCCCTGAGTGTCCCAAGCCAGCGTGGAGGCCACACAGGCAAATATGGCCACGCACAGCACAATGACGATGATGGCCATGATTTTGAGGATGCCTGGGGGAGACGTCCAGCGGTAGAAATGCTGGAACTCATCATCTGGGTAGTAAGAATAGGCCGGCTGTGGAGGGCCCTGACTGTAAACAGATGAAAAAACACATTCTTTAATGAACTGGACAAAAAAACAAGTATGGAAGCCAAAAAAAATAAAGACAAAAAGATCACGTTTTATTCCTTAAATTCAATTCAATTCAATTCAATATTATCTGTATAGCGCATAGAGATGCAGGTAGCAGATGAGGAGGACCAATGCAACCAGAGCACCAAATGTCTACATGGATTAAAAAACACTGCTTATCTGTTGAAATTATAAGACCGAAATGTTTTAATATTTCCAAAAAATCCCCCCCCAAATTTAAAATAATTGCAAAAATACACATTTTAAGAGTTTTTCAGGCAACTTAAATGGTTAAATACTTCTAGAAGACCATTTTAAATTTAACATAAAAAAATAATAAGTTGACAAGATTTTTAAAAGGCAGTTTTAGTGTCTGACATTCAAAGAAGTTAATTCACTATTTAATATAATATTAATATATACATCATTCAAAGTCAGTTAGTTCTTTACAGATCCATATATCAAGCCTTGAAGTAAATGATCAGAGCTTGGTTCTGACTAAACCTGGTCTGTAAAGATGCTCCAGGGTTAAAAATAGTGTCAAATGTAGTTTATTTTCAATAATAAAGCTAAATGTGGGAACTCCCATAAAGAACTCAGCTGGGCGCACAAATAAAGGAAACATCAACATTTAATGTACACATTTTAAATTTTTTAGTCTCCTCACAAGTTTCTTTTGCAGCACAAAGACAAATATCACTGGAATATTTGTAGTAATTGTTGAGCAATGGATGTTTGGCATTGGCAAAAAACCCTATTTTATTTTATTTTTGTGTGTTTGTATCAGAAAAGAAAATTCAATGAAAGATACTAAACTAATATCTGTTCTCATGAGCAAAATACTGTTTTAAGTAGCTCCATTAACCACTGCACCTTCTCAACACACCTCTGTAAAAGTGGCTGCAGCTAGATAAATAATCCGTCCACGGCTCTAATATTTCGCCATCATACTGACACATGTTCCACAAGGAAGATATGAATTCTATATTTAATTTGAGGGAGAGACATTTAAACAACTGGTTGAATTGAGCTGGAATAGTCCATGCTGACCTCCTCTGTGAATATCTGAAGCTGATAACATGATCAATTGCAGGAAATCAAGTGCTGAATATCACAGATACTCACTATCCCTCTGACTCATAGGGAGGAGGACTCCCGTTGGGCCTCGACGACATGACTGCTGGATCCACTGACTTCTGATCTGTAAAAACAAACTACAAGAAAATTCCACAATTAGAACAGATCAATTATTTTCACTGTCCTTTAATCAGAATTCACTGAAACATGCTGAGTTTACTTTGACATGGAGTTTAAGAAAAAAACAACCCAGCAACACCTTTCATTTGAGAAGCACTAACAGGTGGATAGTTGGCATTTTTCCATTTAAATAATTTTCTCTCAATCAACAAATGAAATAATTAATGAATTTGTGCAGCTCTGTTTTAAACACACACATCCTGAGTGATTTTACAGACATTTTCAGTGCTACACTTGAACCATCACTTTATATTAATATATCACAGCTACAAACCACAAATGTTCCTGTTTCTTATCAACAAAATTACAATTAGGATATTCAAACTAGTGACAGCTCTTTAATAAATAACAATCCATCAGTTTAACACAGCTTTAGCTCAAAGCAGCAGCACAGATACTGATAATAAGGAGACTGATTTAAAGCAGTGTCCAACAAAAACGTGTTTCTCTGTAGCAGTTAATAGAGACTTAAAATAAAAGAAGAAAATGCTCCAAAGGGAGTCCTTCCCACTCACCTGTCGCTGTAAGGCTCCTCACCTGAAACGCTTCAACTGAAACTGCAGCCGCTGATAAAAACAGTTGAGACCACACCTAAAGGAGGCGTGCCCTCAGACAGCTTGGCCCCGCCCCCTCACAGGTGTCACATTACACAAGCTGACAGGTCGTCCTGGCTACGGCTCTGCAGGCAGATACCTGGACGCGATTCAGGAGGTCAGAGTATAGACTGTATAAGAAAGATAAAGATTCTTATACAGTCTATGGGTCAGAGGAGCAGAGTCACAGAGAGCCAAAGTGCAGCAGCAGAAGTAAATAAATCACCCTGAATGATGAAAGCATAAACAAACAATATAAAAACAAATGAATACATGTAATTAATGTTATTGTGACAAGGCAGAAATATAAATGTCATTAAATTTATGTTTTATATTAAGCTTTTTTTTTTTTTTTTTAAACCTCCAGTGAGTTATTTGCACATTTTATTTTTTAAACTTTTGGAAAAACATTGACAAATGATTTCATGTGTGTTGAACTGAAAAAAGAAAGAAAGAGAAAAAAAATGAGAAAAACAGGGGAAAATTCAGAAACTTAAAATAAAATCAAAATAGTGTTAAAAAAAACAAACACAAAAAAGGAGAATTAAGAAAAAATGTTTAAATAAAAAAAACAAATGTCAATAAATAAAATTAAATCTAAATAAAATGTAAAAATGTAATGTAAATGTAAAAATCGAAATTTTTAAAAATAAAAAATGTAACAAAAAATACAGTTTTAAAAATATAATTACAAAATTACAAAAAAGGCAAAATCTAGGTGTAAAAAAAAGGTAAAGATAATAATAAAAAACTTTATTTAGTAAACCCTAACCTAGAGACTCACAATACACTTTAAATTCAGGGACCTACCAGTAAAAGAACAAAGAACAAAATGCAAACAAAACCAAAAATGTTCATGACATATATGATGATACTTTACATGACAAAGATAAAAAATATACAACACAATTTAAAATGAGCAAAATAAACAAATAAAATACTAGTAAATTATGTAAGAAAAAACGTTTTATTCTTCAATAGAATTACATCAACAATAACACAAACATGTCAGATTGCAATTATTTTAATAAGCTATGATCTTCACTTTTCTGCTACCAACTGGCTGCAGGTTAAAAATCATTTATTCTTATATTATTGTTTCATATAAGTATGAATTATTGTCAGATAAACCTTTTACTATATCTTCTCAATTTTATGTTTCTGTACATTACAAGATAAATAAAATAATGTAAACAACTCATCCCCAAGAAAAAGTCTGTGTCAGACATTAATATCAAACACTTCAGAGATCATCAGATGAACGTTAGTATCAGTATGTAGTTATTCAGGTCCAGTTAGCATCAATTATTTTCATCATTAATTTAATATTTAGGAAAAAAATAACAGTCCCTTTACTTTACTTATTACCCTTATTTTTTCCTACCAAAAGTGAAAAGTCGGTATTTTACTATCATTCGAGAAACAAGAATCTAAAATATAAACATTTGAAAAGTTAGACTGAACAACTTCTGCTTGAAAAAAGCCTCAGTTATCAAAATTAGGTTTTTATTACGTCAATTACTCAGATGGTTTCACCTCTAATGCAGTTTTTATTCTTTCACATTTCTGTCTACTGTTGGAAAAAAGAAACCAAACCACATCGTCAGTGCGTAAGCAGAACTGTATTCTGAGAGCAGAAAGCACCAATTCATCACTTAAATTATGAAAGAAAACGGACATTTACAGCAAAACATATTTACAATCACAGAGAGACACAAACCTCATGATTAAATTTCCATTCAATCAAGATGTTTAAAGGGCAAATAAATTCAGATATTGAGGCACTTATGGTATTCAAGTGCCTGTAAAATACAAAATGTTTATTCCATGAAATGGTAGAACAAAGTGTTACAAAAAAGACATTTTAATACCCGACTAAGAGGCATAGTTTCAGATTTAAAGACACAGATATATAAAAGACAAGCGTGCAAATAAAACAATCCAAAGAGTCGTGACAGCAGTTTAAGAAACAGCTCAGTGTGGATCTGGCTGAACAAGCAGTGCTGTCATCAGGCTGAAAAGTTGAGAAATTTTTGTAAAAAAATACAAAAACAAAAAAAACCAAACATGATGGTCAGGCAGGCTGACAGAAGAGGTAAATCCTTACAGAAATAATGCAGCATATTTATTTTAGGCTTCATTTACATGCAAACGTCTAAATCCAGTGTCAGTCGTGAAATTAAATGGACAGTCTCAGCTATAATTACAATCACAGTATCAGATATACATTTTGTTTAGTGTTAATTGCATAATCAGACCATCTTAAAGGAATAATTTGACATTTTGTGGTTTGTTTTGTGTCACATCTCTGTTAAACTATGACACTACAGATGGGAGACAGTTAGCTTAGCTCTGTCTGAAAAAACACAGAGAGGACAGGTGCACATGTTCAGGACACTTGGAGGGTCCTACCATGTGTAGTGATTTCGACTGATTTCTTTTACCTTTTTTATTTCTTATTTATTTACTTGACCCATCCATCCATTTTCTATACACCGTTTAATCCTCACCAGGGTCGCAGGGACTGGAGTCTATCCCAGCTGACTCAGGGTGAAGGTAGGGGACACCCTGGACAGGTCACCAGTCTATCACAGGGCTACACTTAGAGACAGACAACCAAGCACACTCACATTCACACCTACAGACAATTTAGAATCACCAATTAACCTCAGCATGTTTTTGGACTGTGTGGGAGGAAGCCGGAGAACCCGGAGAGAACCCATGCTGAGCATGCAAACCCCCCGCAGGAAGATCCCGGTGCCTCCACCGGGATGCAAACCGGTGGCATTCTTGCTATGAGGTAACGGTGCTAACCACCGAGCCACCTTGCAGCCCTTGACCCAGTGTATAAAAACTGTAAACCCACAAAACCAGATTGGTCAACTGATGACTTGCAGACATTCCTCTGTATGGTTGCTGACAAAAGTATCTAGGAAAAGCTGCAGCATTACTTGAGGTCAAGTAAGAAGTCCGTTGGCTGCACACAGTGACCTAAAGGAACAGCTACAGTGTCAGACAGCTAAAAACTACAGAAAACTATCATATAAACCACCACAACAACCTTAGTGGTTCGACCAGATGGACAAAATATATGTCCACAGACTGGAGAGCAGTGGGAGGGAAGGTGGCATTGAAGTGGTCACAGCTTTCTTTGTGCTAATCTAAACTAACCGGCTACGTATAAGAGCAGATCCACATCTTATCTAACTCTTCTTTGGAAAGTAAACAAATCTTTTTTCCCAAAATGTTAAATTATTCCTCTAAGTATCAAACATTCTGTCTCGTAGTGCTCAAACAAACACAAACATAGAAATATAAAACTGCTGATAGAAGTGTTTCTCCCAGATGACTGAAACTCCAAAACAGTCTGAAATCACAAATGTTTTTTTGTTTGGGTTTCACTCTCCACATTAAGTTGGTCATTTCTGCTAGCGCTGCTGCTCAGCTGATGAAAGGAGCTCAGCATCTGTGTTGCAGCGTAGACACATCTCGGCGGTTCAGCTGTATCCATCGTTCCACTCCATAACTTTATCATATTCCTGAATCTTCTGCTTGATGTGCGACAGTTTGCTCTTCAGATACTCGCAGCGCTCCTTCTTCTCCAGGAAAGTGGGGTCCTGGGAGAGTAAAGCAGAAACAAGCTGAGTGTTTCAGGAGCAGCTACATTCTGATCTACATGAATATGATCGGTGTTTTTCTCTTTTGTCAGCACATTTCATGAAACAGTGTTTGGATTGAGGTGTTTTGGTTGGATTTGTTTTAAAAAACAGTCACATCAGCCTCAACTTTGAATCTGTTCCTATGTTAAACTCCTGTGTCACAACATATGTCATCTCATAGCACTTCACATAGTAAAAGGTAAAAGGTACAAACCTTACAAATGTTAAACAAAGAACAGAAAATCCAACAATCTAAAGCTGACATCTTAGCTCAGAGACACTGTTCCTCTGCTAATTTGAATGCCTGAACAAAAACAGCCTCTCTGCAATGTAAACTAACACAGGAACACAATGAGACAAGACAATAAGCTTACGTTCTTCTTCCTCTGGTACTCCTGCAGGATTCTGTTGATGCGATCCACCTCCTACGAACAGAGACAGAGGCAGGATTAAAGAGAGAAACTCAGAATGAAAATCAGGTGCAGCCCTGTGACGGCAGCTTATCAGGAATGTGAGTGTGGAGGGAACAGGAAGGGCAACAGGAACTTCCAGGAGGGGGAAATGAGGCACATTTTTACAATAAAAACACTGAGTGCAATATTTCAGATGCACAATCAGACCACTTCCTGGATGGAGCCACTGCTGAGCCGATGTGACGCACTGAGACAGACTGAAAGTGGGTAAATGTGTCTACAGATGCAAAGTGCAGTCCAGTGTGCTGCTGCACTGAAAGCATCTGTGTGTTTGTTGAAGGTGTAACAGCCTGGATCACAAACACTGATTAGACACATTAAAACAGGGGAAGTCCATGACATGGACATCTGGTTACAATGGCTCCTGTCTGTGAGTAGGCTGTATTAGGCATCAAGTCAAGAATCAGCTTGTTAAGGTGTGTTGGAAGCAGCATCCCATCACAGTTGGCTGTGGTTGAGGCTGCATAGCTGCAGATCAGTCAGAGTGTTCATCATGACTCCTGTCCACCACTGAAAGTGCCTACAATGGTCTTCAGAACTGGACCATGGAGGAATGGAAGAAGGTGTCCTTGTGGAAAGTTTGGTTCACTGTTCACTCAGGGGGGAGATGGCAGCAGGATGGGATAAAGACAACCAGTTGGAGGCAGTGTGATGCTCTGGGCATTGTTCTGCCAGGACTCTTTGGGATATGCAACAATATTCTGAGTGTGTGACTTAATTCGTGTGAGTGCATGATGGTCATTAGGCTGTTTTGGTGTCTTTCCAGCCGGCGTTGGTCGCTACTGTATTCTCCATTTTGTTGGAACTTTTTCTTCTTCACTGCCTCAGTCAGTCTCTCCTGACCTAATACATAAAATAATCCATTCAGCTACTGTGTGCTCCATTAATTAAGCTGCTAATTATTTGAAAAAACTGAATGAAGAAAGAAAGGAGGAGGCAGTCAGGATTTTGGCTTCCTAATTTTAAAATAACATGATTAACTGCGTGTTTGACTTTTAAAATGTGCTCTGCTCGTGCTTTATGTAGATAAAATCACTAGGTTTCAGCTTCACTAACATTAGAACACCTTATTTCCTCCTTTTTAATGTAATTTTTGGTCACACACCTGTCTGAGTGAACTGCAGCCACTTAACAGCATTTATCTTAACCTGCACGTGAGGTATTTATGAAACAACAGTAAATTGTAAAAGTGAGGAGTTTAGCCTGTTCAAAATCAGGAAAAGACTTGTGACGACTTAATGTTTTTTTCTGAATAAAATATTTTTGCAAATATCAAATATGAAATGAGCATCAATGCTTACATCAGCGCAGAACTAGTGTGTGCAATGACAGCTACTCATCAGCATGTAAGGATGAATAATACCACACTGTGCCAATAAAGGGCTGGAGAGGTGCAACTAAACCACGTGCTGCTGCTACAGTTGCAACAGAGCAGGTGATTAAGTTAGTCTGGAGCCTTGTCGGGTATCTGCAGCTCAAAGCTATTTAAATAATATGATGGGAAACTTCACGATAATAGGCAGGTGATTTAGATGCTGTGGCTGACTGGTGTACATGTCAGGACTGAGAGCCTCTGTATACCTACATACATATATACAGTCATGGAAAAAATTACTAGACCACCTTTGTTTTCTTCAATGGAAGCAGGAGGCCGAATAGTCGGAGATCAAAATTGGTATTCTGACACCGGCACTCCGAACGAATAGTCGGCTATTCGGGTCCAGCCCTACTGCAGTCATCAAAAACAAAGGTTATGCAATCAAGTACTAACTCCTGTGTGCATCATGTGACTAAAACAGACAGAAAATAAAACATGGGATGCCTAAAAGCACTGTTTTTGGCAGTACAATGCCAAAGCTATTGATGGAAGAACTTAAGTGATTTTGGTTATTACCAAGAAAACCACGGAAAATGGCGAGATACCAGCTCTTAAATGAAACTCTTATAAGCTTTTTTTGTAGTTATTACATTCGTCCAAACAAATGTACCTTTAGTGGTACCAGGCATTAAAATGAACAAGAAATTAAAAAAAAAAAAAAAAGGTGGTCTAATAATTTTTTCCATGACTGTATATTAGAAACACCTGTATTCATGCAATTTCCAATCAGCCAATCACATGGCAGCACTGCAGCATATAACCCTGCAGACACAAATCAAGAGCTTCAGGTAATATTCACATCAAATGTAGGGATGATGGAATTTGAGATCTCAGTTTAAGGAAAAGACAAACAAACAAAAAACAACAGCATTCTCTCAGTCTTGATTTAGCATCAGTCTGATAAACCCTCAGTCAGCCTCCTCCTGCTCTCTGTGCCAAACCCAAATTTCCTTGTATCTTTTTCTCCTTTGAACTCGTGTGTCATCAGCTTGTCGACTATCTGTAAAGCACTTGCTTCATGCAATACAAAAGGTACTTTACAAATAAAGTTGAATTTACTGAAGTATGAATGACCACAGGGACAGATAGAGGAGACTACAGGTTGTTTGAAGTTACTCACTTGGGACATGGTTTTGAAAAACTCATTTGATTCTGCACACACTGAAACACTAAGTTGTCCTTTTTTAAAACTTTCCACACTTTTGAACACAAGAAGAGAAGAAGATGTGTAAACATGGTTAATTTAGATTTTCCTGAGTTATATGTAAAAGTGTAAGAGGTGCATGTAAAGTATTCACCATCTGGCTGGTCGGGTGCTGAGGCAGAGTGCGCATCATGCCGTCCATCTCGTCAAACTTCTTGAGGGTAGCCTGCACCTCTGAGTGCAGCTCTTTGTACTCTGCGTACTGGTCGTTGAACACAGCTCGGTACTGGTCCCGCTCGTCATCTGTCCGGATCGTTGGGTATTTACTGCATGATGGAGGTGGAGAGTCACAATTCATGTATCTTATCACCGCAGAAAAGGCCAAATAACATGTCATATTTATTACATATACAAATGTAAGTTTTCAACTTTTCTTTTGCTCACTTTTAACCCTCTTAAACCAAAATCAAAAAGGGGGTCCCAACGGGATCACCAAAAGATGCTAGACTAGACAACCTACACACAAAAAGTTAGAGCAGTTAGGAACCATATTCACTAAATAAGTCAAATGTTTACTGACAACCTGATAAGCACATACTTCAAACAGTCAAATCCAAATGTATCTTTTCGAGACCAACTCAAAATGGTTAAATGCAATTCATACAAAATTAAAGCAGTTACCAGCCAAATTCACTGTTTGAGTCGTATGTTTACTGACAAGCCGATTAGCGTATATTCCAAACAGTCAAGCAAATGTACATTTCCAAGATCAGCGCAAATGTGTAACCACGAACTGCATTGCTAGCAACTTTCTGTTCCTCCAACAGCCCACCTCTCTGCATTTCCACTGTTACTGGCACTGCCACAACCAGGCAAGGCTCACGCTCCTCGAACACGTCTGGCTCAAACAAAGACCACAAAACCAAATCCCGAACGTCATCTGTACATCTTTTTTCCCCTCAGAGACCAAAATGATCAACTATTTGAAATAATATTAATAATCTGTCTTGCAGTCATAAACAAACGGCGCTGTACGCGCATAAAAAAGAAAAGAAAAAAGACAAAGAAACCATCATTTTAAATGTGCCGTTTTTCACATCTCCGGTAATATTTCAATGAAAACATAAGACTGTCTTGTTTTGCTTTAACTATATATTGGCAGCGGAGTTGAGCTAACTTGTTATAGAGTTAGGTTTTTAGTTTCAACCGCTCTGCGAGCTAGTCACTACACGTGCGTTAAGCAATCCTGTAGGTAAGGGCGACCTACGTGCTCCACTCGGGAAGCACTGTAGTGGGTAAGATGTTCACAGGGGTGTTCACAGGTGCCATTCTGCACTTTAGTGTATGTATGGTAAGTTACTGTTTGTTGTGCTATGTTTTGGTGGTCACTGAACTGTCGTCATCTCAGGAGCTATGTCGGTATCTGATGATTTAGAACATAGCAGCATTAATAACAACCTTACATTAGTTTCATGGAACGTGAAGGGTCTGGGTCATGTGATTAAAAGGGGACGTGTCTTCTCTCATCTTAAATCGTTAAAGCCAGATGTCTTTTTCCTTCAGGAAATCACATCAGTGCAAATGAACAGCGCAGGCTAAGAGCAAACTGGATATCTCAGACCTTCCAAGCGCCTTTTACTCACAAAGCCAGAGGTGTTGCAATCCTTCCGAGAAAAAAATATTCCATTTTGCCTTGAATCTACAACAGCTGATCCATATGGTAGATATCTCATGATTTCAGGTCATATAAACTTACTACCAATAACAATGCTTAACATCTATGCTCCAAACACTGACAATCCTGAGTTCTTTGTTAAAATCTTTCACACGATACCAATTTCCTGTTCTTTTCCTGACAAGCCGATTAGCGCATATTCCAAACAGTCAAGCAAATGTAGACTTCCAAGGTCAGCGCAAATGGGTAACCACAAACTGCATTGCTAACAACTTTCTGATCCTCAAACAGCCCACCTCTCTGCATTTCCACTGTTACTGGCACTGCCACAACCAGGCAAGGCTCACGCTCCTCCAACACGTCTGGCTCAAACAAAGACCACAAAACCAAATCCCAAACGTCATCTATATTTTTTTTTTTCCCTCAGACACCAAAATGATCAACTATTTGAAATAATATTCATAATCTGTCTTGCTGTCATAAACAAAAGGCACTGTACGCCAAATGATTCAATACAAAAATAATTGGTCTGTATAAAATCAGTGTAAACAAGAACAGACCAGAACTAAAACTTAACTAGGTGTTACATATGTATCTGTGTACAAAGCCTGACCAAATAATGTGAACTACAGGTGTGAATTTGCCCTTAGTCTTGGTGTGATACGAAACTGAATCTCTAGGGATCAAATGATTAATCCAGAGAACAACTGGCAGACTTGTCATGAATAAAAATAATGGTTGGTTGCACCTCCGCTGTGTATTGTATCTGCTTCTCTTCACTTCTGGATTTTCAGTGTTACTTACGCAATGTAGTCTGGCACAATAACGGGTTTCGGGATGTGTCCTGATGGTATCGTTCCCTGTAAAACCTTCGCAGGAGCAGCTTTTGGTGCAGCTTGGATGGGAACGACCGAGGAGCCCCGAACCTGCTCTGGAGTTCTGGGAGCTGGACCAGAAGCTGGGACCATCTGCAGAGACACAGCAACACATGACCTGAGCTCCCTCATAAAATTAAAAGAGCTATTCTGCCTGTAGCCATCTAGATGTGGGTTATTAAATCTTGAATATACAGAACACTTACCAATGACTGTCCAGCTCGCATGTCAGAGGGCTGCATCTGTGCACACACACAAAAATGTAAAAAGATCAACTCATTAATATGTAGACAATAACAACAATTTCCTATTTTCTGACATCTTGCACATGAACCTTTGCTGTGCTGTAGGTGTTGCTGCATAATGTGAAGTCATGTGTGTACTTTTGGTTTGTATAAGCATTTACGCGATACCTATGCCCATTTGTAGTTGTTTTGTTGCTTTACATTAAATCTTAAATCACATTATTTTCACTGTAATAGTTCCATAAACAAATTGCTTCCAAAAAACTGCAAGGGAGAGCATCATTGGATTAACATGCTATATCTCAAAAAGGGAATTAGAAAGAATTAAAAATAATAATTCAAGACAAAGCCATCCTAGCTGCATTCTCATTTAGCAAGGCTCAATGACTCTTGGCTGTGGTCATGAAAGTGGCATCAGTCGTAGGATCTGACTCTCAGCAAGAAAGTAAATAATCATACAAGCTGCAAGCAAAAAGTCTGAGGCTGCTCGTGGTGTGTGCACGTAGTGTGTCACGGTCTCACTTGTGCAGCATTTCACGAGTGACTCACGATTTAAGATGACTTCAGAGCTTGTGTTACATGTTTTTGACCCATAGCTGCATATTTGTAATTTCTTCGTGGAGCTCAAACTTTCACATAAAGCAAACATTACATTCTGTGTCAGTCAGCAGCTAAGACGATCCAGTGGCGATGAGCAGATGAAGCCTCATGAAGCCTTGAAGCTTTCTATGCAATTGATTCGGAAAAAAAGGTTCATTTCTGGAGGCTTCATGTGCACACAAACCCCCCTGCTGATCAAAAAATGTATTGTCATTTCAACTATCAGAATCTGAATCCTTTTTATTGTCATGATACACACACGCTTCCATACACACAACAAAATTACAGCCGGAAGTCTCGCTTTTCAGCAAAAAGAAAAATGGCATAAATAAATAAATAAACTATTGGTGATGGCCTCTTCGCTGTCTTACAACAGTGTCAGCATGAGGAACAATCAGTGCCAAGAATAGAAATAAAAACATCTTAATTTGATTTTGTGTGGTTGGTTCATTAATTCATTCATTGAATCTGTTTTTGATTAATGTGTGGGTAATAGAGGTCTGTTAATGTCAACAAAAATTGCCAGTATGATTTCAGTCAATGTTTAAATATATCCAAAAGGACATGAGACGTTTATGTTCAAACTGTTGCAATGTTTGTAAAAGATGGGACAGCAACTGTTCTTATGAATACTGGGCTGATAGTGACTTTATTCATTTTTTATTAAGAAACAATATTTTTTCCACTACGCTTGGAAACAGTCAGTTTCGTTTTTTGGAAATAACTTCTCTGGCTTTGGACAAAACCCTTTCACATGTGAATATTATAGCAGTAACACATTTCATTATTTACAGGTTTATTATTGGGAGAGATCAGCTCAAAGTGTTGCCATACAGGGGAAGCCCTTCTCCCTTTAGGCTCCATGAAAACTGGTTTCTCAATGTCACAGGCAAATTGGCAAAACTTAAACATAAACACTGATATGCAAATTTTGCGGCGATTCACTGCGCTTTATGTTCGTAAGTCACGCCAACACTTGACCTCCTTCCTAAACCAGCAAAACTTTGTTCGTCATCAGTGACGTCACCTGCCTCCTACAGAAGCAAGCCTCCAGACGGGCTTCATAAAGGACTTCTTGGGTTTCTCAACACCTCGGCACAGTACGTCCCATCACTACGATGCAGCCTTCACATAGAAGATCATCACTGGTGACCAGAGATGGGTCTGCAGCTACCACCAAGAGAAGGAACAGCAGTTTTCACTGTGGAAGAGCCACAGGCTCCAAAAGTGGAGGAGGAACGTTTTTTTTTGGCTACAACAACACAATTGCTGCTCTCCACTTACCCTCCTGACCAGATTTGTTTCCGTGCGACTTCTTCCTTTTCCCCAAAATGAAATTCACATTGAAAGCTTGCTGTTTTGACACAGTTTATGGGACTAAGCACTCATTGCAGATGATGCTTGACATTTTTTCCAGAACAAGACGACTTCTGAGGCGTGTTGCAAACATTGCAGGAACACTGGAAACAATGTAATGCTGTACAAGGAGAGGACTTTGACAAGGATGGCAGCCAAATTTGAATCAGATCCAATTTTTGATTTAATAGGCACAGTCGCTCAGCTTTTTGATCACAGCTTGTATTTACCAAAATGTTGAAATTTATTTAAGAGACCACTATTTAAATGAAGAAATAAACAGTACAACAAAATGGGAGTTCAGACAATGCACAAGCACAAAGTAGTTTTGTTAAATCTAGACTACGTACATCTTTTCCTCGGCAGCATATGCTACCTAACCTGATGAGGCAGATGCTTTTTTCACAGAATCTGAAAAGTTTTGTGGGTTTAGAAAAAGACAGCCTACCAGGGCGCATACCACATCAGTACAAATGCCTTCAAGCAGCGAGTCTCTACTGTCTTGTCTCACATATCCTGTCCATCTACATTGTTACTTACCAATAAATTAAAAAAAAAAAGAAAAAGAAATGCAAAAGCACTTTCAGAAAGTACTTATCCATTTATCACAGGCTAACTCACGCCTAAAGATGGCCATAGTCATAAGTGGTTTCTCAGTAGGGATGGTTAATGATTAAGTCATAGCTGTATCAATGAATAATCGATTACAGCTGCGGTCACATGACATAAGCCACTCTAACAGTTTGTGTCATGTGGCATGGCTGCTCAAAAGGTGTGGATGATAGCCACAGTGTCCTAGTGCACTTAACCTTGCATACAAAAGGAGAGCTCTGGCCAGCAGGCATTAAGCGTCATAGAACACTTTCTCATGGTGGCACTTAACTGGCTAAACCCCTACAATGCTCTCTGCTGCGGCTGCCGGTAGTCTGAGTGAGCATCTCCTCGGGTTACAACAGGCTTCATCTGGTAGCGCAACCAGGCATTACAGCTAATATACATTTTCAGAAACGCATGTCCTCATCGGCTAATGGATTAACAATTACTCAATTACATCCACAGTCTGAATCACTGTAGTTCAGTCACATGGATACAGCCTGGAAGTTTGGAAAGATGGATTCACAACATGCTACCAGCACACAGGTATTTGCACACAGATTTGCAGTCTCCACCTTCTCGCGTCTCCACAACCTTAAGCTTGTGTGCAAACTATGTGGTTTGATGTTGAACTATAGTGTGTGTGTGGGTGTTTGCAACAGACATGTTGAAATGATCCTATAAGCTAAAGAAAGACTTCCATAGAAATCCATAGAGCTAACCCAATAAACAGAGCCAAACAACTTGAAACTAGCGGATATCTTCTTACCTCCTGAATGTAACGTTCCCGGTATCTGCGAGCAGCTTCGTGCCTCCACAGCTTGAGACACACTATGGCTCCAATCAGATACACGACCATGGTGACGAACAGGAAGATAATGGCTGCAGTCTGGCCTGCCTCCGTCCTGCAGAATGCCCCGTTGATGCCGTTGTTGAAGACGGGGTAGGAGCAGAGCCCTCCGCGAGTTGTGTCTCTGACATAGACGATGCCTGGTAGACAAAACGCAAACATGCTCAACTTAATGACCCTATAAAGCCATATTAACTGAAAACATTTCAAAACACATTCAAAGAACCTCTGAGAAATGGCCATCCTTATTTAGTGAAGAAGAATTTTTAAATTGTACTGTTTTGTTTGTCCCTCTTGTGGCCTTAATGGCAAGTTGGCGCATTTTAATTAAAGCAATTCATGTGGCAATGTGAGAAAAAGCTACACTGCTGTTGTTGGTTGTAAACAACAGGCTGTTATTAGAAATTTGTTTTGCAGGGGTGCCCCTAAAGCTCACCTAGTTGAGCGGGCGACCCATAAACAGGGGCTATAGTTCCCCGATGCAGCGGTCATGGGTTCGACTCCCGCTCGTGACTCTTTGCTGCAGGTCTCTCCCCATTCTTCTCCCCCCTTACCTGTCTATTTCTACTGCTCTAAATAAAGGCAAAAGTTTGCTTAATTGGACCAGTTCAGCACCCTGGCTTGAGGCACTACAAAAAACATTTCAAAGCGCACAGGTTCTCTGGATAATACAGTTTTCGAGATGCACCTTTGTTACCTACCTGCTGCCATGTAGAGC